AATAAGCATAAAGAATTGATGTTCGCCATATAAATTTGCCTATTTTTTGCAATATTTGTAGGCTAATTTTTTTTCGTGATTTATAGCAAAAGTGGTGGAAATTTTTTGGTTGTAATTATTCTTTGCAAATGTTAGAATAATATGCGACAAATTTATTAATAAATCTGTAGCGAATAGTCATGTTATATTAATTTTCTGTCAAATATTTTGAAAAATACAACTTTTTCAATGAGGGAGAAAGAGAGAACAAGTGCAAATTTATCGAAATCTTCAGTCGAAGTCGTTGAAAATAAATGATACAGACTACTGCAATACAGAATTTAATTAGAATCTTTGCTTCAATCATAAATCTTTCATTTTGGTTACCTGCAAAAACTTTGACCTTTTTTTTTTCACCTGCCATCCATCTTTGTTCAGTTCTGCTATCATCCATTCCAATCCACAAACAATCATCATTTCAAATTTTGTTTACTTTTTGATTTGCCATTGTTTGAATGCTGTTAACCGATCCGTCAACTTACCCATCTTTCGTCCTTTCTTCCTATGACACTCAACGGATACACCGAAGGACACTTAATCCTTCTGCTTCAAAATTCATTTGTAAATAAAGAAAAGCTTTTGTAAAGAAAAAAAAGAGATAGAAATTGGAAATTTTTTATTATTGTTCATTTATTGCTAAAAGGATAATGATTTGAATTGAAAAAGGAACATAATAAATTTCAGGCAAAATTTAATCGGAAGTAAAATTTTCATTTTTTTTTTCCTTTCTTTGGAAACTTTCTGGGGAAAAAATGCGATTCCCAAATTTTACCCATTCTATTAATGAAATTGAGAAGATTCGTAGATTTTTATTTTTGAAAAAGGTACAAATTTCCATATTTTTTAAAAGTTCCTCAAATGAGAATGGTCTACTTTTTAGAAAAATTGTGGAAAAAATTTACTCAACATAATTTGAATGTTTTACGAGTGAATTTGAATATTTTTTTCTTTTCGAACTGTTTTTTTGAGTGAATTTGAATTTTTTTTCTTTCCTTACAATTATTATTGGCAAATAACATTGGCAAATGTTAATTGTCTTTTTAAGATGATTTATTTTAGTCCTTTTTCTTCATCTGATCAGATAGAAATAGTAATGCTAATTGATGTAATATTCAAAAGTTTGATTTATTTTAAAGTGCATATTTGCTATTAATTTCTGTAAACCAAATATTTTTATACGGAAAGAATAGTCCTTTACTATCATGAAATCGTTGGAAAAGTTCCATCTAAAAGTTGGTAAACAACCAATAAATAAATAAAAAAAGACTGAAAAGTTGCTTGCAAACTAGACAAACAAAGTATTGTTACAAAAATAGCAAATATCAAAGACAACTGAAATCAGGTGAACCATTAAATTTCGTTTAAGTAAATAAAATTTGGACATCAATAAACAAACAAAGAGAATAAAACTAAAGTAAAAAAAAAAGAAGAAGAAAAAGACAAACATTAATAGGTATCGTAACTTTGTGGTTATTATTTGAGATAAATTTAGAAAATATTTGCTAAATTTTTTTTAATATCAAATAAAATTGTTTGGTAGTGGAGAAGAATACAATATTAGACTAAAGAATTAGAGAAATGATAGAAAAAGTATATTCAATAATTTATGATTTCTGGAATGATATAAAACATTGTCTAATTAGATTGAGCAGAGAGAAATAATTTTTTGAATTATCAGAAAAGAACAGGAGATGATTTATCAAAAATATAAACGATTGATCCAAATTAAAGATGTAAGAGAAGAGATTGAAATGTTACAATTCAAGAAAGCTTCTAAAGATGTATTAAAGTTGAAGTGCATAATCGAAATGAAATTTTAAGAAACAGTTAAAATAACACTTTTTTTTAAAAAAAATTTAGCAAACATTGAAATAATACTGCCAAATAAAGCGAGTCTTTTTCTACGCTTTTTTCTTCATCTTTGTTAGAATTTGGAAAAAAAAGAAACACTTCCAAAATGTCATATGCCAATTACTCCTAAATACTTTTTTTGACTGAAAAAATTTTCGGCAATTATTTTCATTTCTAGATACAGTTACGTACTCGAGCAAGACGTTGCATTTGTATTTCAATCAGCTGTGGTTGTTTTCAACCATCCGGTTCGGTTTACAGGCAACCATTACCATCATCATATCGACAACTGGTTTATCGACAACAACCGGATACAGCAACACCATGCGTTAACAACTGTATCCAAAGTTGCATACAGAATCAATACAATTCTTGTCAACAGTCATGCCAGAATTCATGGTTTTTTAAATAATATTATTAAAAATTTCAAAACGTTTGAACTTAATTTTTCAGTTATTAAATTAGATATGTCAGAATATATTTGAGCAAAAGAAAAAAAACCTCTTACATTAAACATGCCTTTCACAATGGGAAAAAAATCGTTTCTTCTTTTTTTGCTCTTTTTGAAGATAATGCAAGACAAAACTTTTGCAAAATTAGTTCCTGGGTAATCCAAGTTTTTCGCATATTTTACGCGTGTTTCTCTTCTAATTTTAGTTTATCGTTTATTCTTCTCTGTCAACAGATAAGATATCAATGTCTCCAATTTGATTATATTTTACAGCGGTACACAAGGGACATATCAGCAACCAAGAGGGAATATATTAGCATCTAATCAGTATGAATCAATAGCCCATGAGGCATCCAATGGACAACAAAGCGGCATACAAGGGACATATCAGCAACCAAGAGGGATTATATTAGCACCTAATCAGTATGAATCAATAACCCATGAGGTATCCAATGGACAACAAATTGGTACAAAAGTGGCATATCAGCAACCAAGAGGGATTATATCAGCACCTTATCAGTATGAATCAATGACACATGAGGTTTCCAATGGACAACAAAGCCTTACTGGAACATGCATAAATATTTGCATGCCCAGCTGTGAAACGCAATGCATTCAACGATCTACACCGGTACCTGGAGTACAGCGTCAACCTCCTGTACCTGTCCCTGTGATACAGCGTCAACCTCCTGTACCTGCTCCTGTGGTACAAAGCCAGGTGAAGTCACAATTATTTCTTTTAATTTTTTCTCTTCTCCTAACTAAAATTTACCATAAATTTTATTTAATTTCAAAAATATAGCATAAAATTACTTTTTTTTCTTTGCAGACTCCTTCTTATTACCCACCACAACAATATGAACCGGCTGTGCAGCAATTCTCCAACAATGATAATATATTTTGTGTTTATCTTTGCATGCCATCCTGTGAAAATCAATGCTCTGAACGAACAACTCCCGCAATTCCACCACCATATCCGACACAAACGGAACAACCGTATCCCTCGAAATCAATACCGTACCAATCCTCTTCTAATCAAACATCGGTCGTAATTCGGCCAGATGCGAGCGGTACTGTAGCAACTCTTTGCTTACCTGTTTGCATGCCAGCATGTCAATCACAATGTACCGAAAATTCAGGACAAAGAATAGGAGGTAGTAACATAAATGGTGGTACCACTCCAGAACCAATAATACCTACCCAAAGTGATTTATTACTTCATGAAATTTCGATTAACTTACCACAATCGATTCAACAATCACCGGACTGCATGCATTTATGCCAAGAAACATGCACACAGCAATGTATTGAACAAAGTATTATTCTTTTATCATTATTTCTTTTCCAAATTTGTGGAATTTCAATTTAAATTTTTTTTCACGAAAAAAGGTACTTAAATCTAAAAAAAATTGATTAGTAATTGAAATTCAAATTTGGTAAATGACATCATCTAAATAAGATTACAAATTAGTTAAAAAAGTAGAAAAGAGGAGCATATTATTTCAGATTGATGCTTTTCAACTGCTACACCATATTCCACTTACTATTAATGAATAAAAAAGAAAAATTTCTTGTCAATTATTATCTTTCCAGATCAACCGGCCGAACAATGTCAACCATCCTGTTTGTTTACATGTCAGGAAAGTTGTCCTCAAGCCCCAGTTAGTGCCGGTACCACCAGCTCCAATCAACCACTACAGACAGAGTCGGAAATTTATGAAAAGATGCCACAAACTTTGGACAATTCCATGAACCCTAAAAAAACTTTCCTTCTTCGATCACCACCATATTATCATCGGCCTTCTTCCTATGAATCACAGGTCACTAATTGCCTGACTGACTTGTCAGGAATTGGCCAGTGTAATTGCCCATCCGGTTATGTCCCATGCTTATCAACGAAATCTCGTGTTAGCCAGCAGCAATGCTGTAGGAGACGACGATAATAAATGGATTATTACGGCACGATATTCTCATAAATTTGAAATTTCTCAGCTCATCTTCGGAAATTTTTTTAACGAATCTTTGAATTCTTTTTTTCCATTTGCTTCTTGAAAAACGATGACGATAATTAATTAATTCCATTATTTTGCGTGCGTTGATGACACTCGCAAAGAAATTTTCGCTTCGACTTCGATCGATTCGTACTGCCTTATCTGAATGAAACATTCTTTCTCAATCTTTTGTAAAATGTTGCATTTCGTCAAATAAAAATTTGTTTTGTGAAAATTTGAAACGTTCGGCGTAAGAACGAAAATATGCGTCATGCAATTAATATCATGAGATCACGTAAGTCATGATTGCACGTAACACGTAAACATCACTGATCCCTACATTAATAAAAAAGTCGATATGGCAAAATTATGTAGGAATGTGCAAATTTCCGACAAAATAACTTTTTGTTTTAAGGCATAAAAATGGGAAGTTTGGATGATCGATCGTTCCCTCTCATCTGTTCAGATATTTCAACTTTACGATCCCTTCCCACTTCCCCACATTTTAACCTCTTTCCCCACTAGATATGCCACTTACACTTAGTTCTTGATCGCATCATACAGCATTAAATCTTATCATCAATTATCACTTGAAAGAAATCACCAACTTTTCGAAAGTTAAGATTTCTTTGAAGAAGCAATTTATGGGCCAAGCAAAAAGACGACGCTGCACGGAGTGGGATTCGAACCCACGCATCGATTACGATACCAGAACACCCATTTAACTCATTTCGCACTTGAACTCGTGCGAAGCAATTATATCGCTTGAGTCTGGCGCCTTAGACCACTCGGCCATCCGTGCTGTGCACCACAACCCATTCCAAATAAACTAGTAAAATATTCCATCAAATAACAATTTTTGATAAATTCTTGCTAGAAATCGAACTCTCAATCTTTCTCCACTGATAACATATCAAATTGATATGAATCAGTAAACTGCCTGTGACAGCTGAATTGGAACACGTTCAAAAGCGAAAAAAAAAGTGCATTTCAAGTTCATCGTACTGATGACCGAGTGGTCTAAGGCGCCAGATTCCAGCAACACAATGCTCCTCGCGAGTTCAAAGTGTGATACGATTTAAATGGGTATCGTTATTGATTTTCAAAAATATGACTGAGAACAAAACTAATGCTAAACATGAGCAAGTAGTGAGATATCCTTTAGCGATCGATGAAAAAAAGTAGTTGAAATGCGGAAAGGAAGGAAAAAGAAGGCAAAAAATGGACAAAAACGATTTATTGTAGTCTTTTTTAAAATATTTCTCAAATCTTTTCATTATTATTGATTTGTCATTGTTTTCATTTGCAATATTAACCCAACAAAAGCAAAAGATTCAAATTTCATTTTATAATATAAATAACATAATTTAATGTGTAAAAATGAAAAAGTGTTCACTAATCAATATCTGCATCCTTCAACATTACAGATTCATTTTTAAAAGCCTTAATTAAACATTTTCCCGCGATCTTTGCATATTTACATTTACTCATACTTCCTCAGATGGAAATGAATAAGATAAGATAAGCAAATAAGAATTAATTTCATTTGAAAATTTGAAATATCCAATTCGCAATTTATGAATAGCGATGGGTCATTTAATGAACGATTGGATACTGCAGGACAAATAATTTGACAACTTTTCCAAACTTATAATAAAGAAATAGTAATTAAAGAAAAAAACAAAAATGATCGATTAACTTGCTAAGAGCAATGAATATCTTTTCTATTAATAAATTAATCGTATTTTGAGGGAAAGTTTAGTCCGGAAGAACAGCTGGATGTGATTCCATCGAAATCTTCTCATCGCACTTATATTTGTTTGAATGGCTGAATCAGTTGTGGATGAGCAAATATATTTATTGATATTATCAAAGCAGAAAATTAATCATCATATATACACTACAAAAAAAAGGAAAATCGTTCGAATGAAATTCAATTTTCGCTCTTTGTTTTATGAATTTTGCTATTTCCCTTTTAACTTTCCCCATTTTATGGCAATAAAAATAGATTATCAACTTTCTTTCATTACCCTTATTCTATCATTTCATTCTCATCCCTAGAATAAGCGTTCTCATTCACTTTTTCCGTTATCACTAGAATGACTATTATTATTTGTTTACGCTTATCACTCTAATCACTTCCCCTCATTTTTCTCTTTTGTTGCTTTCTTTTCTTCTTCTTCCATTTCTTTTTCCTTCTTTTCTATCTCTTTCTTTTCTTCTTTTCCCCTTTCACGTCGTTGGACATAACTAATCATCATATTGGTCAGCGGTATATGCAACATTGTCAAACCAAACGACACGGCTGTTCCAACGACAAAGAAGATAATAAATGGTGTGAGGAAATTTCCAATACCTGTCTAAAATTTAATTTCAAATTTTGCAGCGTAAATGTAAAATTTTTGGAAAAACTGAAAGAATCAAATATCAGTTTGAAGAAGAAAGTTGCAATGCCTAAAATCTGGTCAAATGATGATGATGTCATCGGTTCAATCGATAATTGCCAAATCTGGGAGCTACTGAAGAATCGTAAATGAAATTAACCAAACATCACTGACATAGGTATAGATGACATTTCGTGGCTCAAGAAATGACATTGCTGCTAAGTGTCGAAACTTTCTGCTCACCGAATTTCAATTTCACTGACAAAGCAATGAGCAACGCTGTGGAAATTCTGAATTTTATAGATTTCAGAAGACTGGCCTGCCTTTTTTGCAACATGATTTGTCAATTTCAACGAGAAAAAAAACCACGCAATTATTCATATTTTTGCAAACTGAAAAAAATGCATTGTAATGCAAAGCATTTTTTAATTTCCAAAACATTCTAAATATAATGCTCGTCATAGTAAAGCATAAAATTTATCGAATAACCATTCTGGCTTAAATCAAAGCATACCAAATTTGAAATTAAAATTGGATCAAATTAGTCCTTCTTTCGTGAACTATTCAGGAAAATTGTTTTTACAATAATTTTTTCCCATATTTGTTACGATTATGATGCTGTATGGACAGTGAAGATGATAACAATTGCAATGATTGCACAAAAAACTTGAGAAAAGTTAAACAGCATTCATGGAATCACTCAAGATTTCAAATTCAGTGAAATATTTCTCTTTCTGAATATGGAAATTTCAACTGTAATAATTATTATAAAAAGATTTGGCAATAATATTGGATGAATTACGATTTGAAATTAATTTCAAATTTTATATTTATCTTCATCGAATATTTGCGAATTCAGTTCCAATACACTTTATTCACAAACAATTTATTATATAATATTTAATTATTAACGAAATATTAGATATAACAAAATATGATACAAAGGAATTTATTGCTAGATTAATAATGATCGGAAAAGTAAGTAACGTTAATGAAGTTAATCAATTAATTGAAATTTCTGATTGATTAAAGTGACTTGCTGATTAGTTAGAATAATTTCATGGTTAATTAAAATGATCACCCATATTCTTCTATTTGGTCATAACAGTAGTTCACAGAAAATTATAAGTAAAGGAAGAAACTCGAATATTCTAAATTTTAAATTGATTAATGCATGGAATCTCTTAAATTAATTCATCAATTTCAAAATTTACTTGTACTTAATAGTCAACTTCAAGTCCTTTTTTCCTGCTTTCCTTTTTTTTTTTTCGATCCTGTATGATTCGATGTTTGGATAGCTAAAATTAATTTGATCCAACTATAATTGTAGAAATCTTATCAAGTTTACAAGATCGGAAATTTTATCAAATCATCTATTCTATTACAAACAAACATATCACAGGAATGATTAAATTTATGATTTTTGATAACTGAAACATAAAACGAATTAAATGTCTTAAACACTTGATGAAATGCATCAAAAACGAATATTAGTAACAACTTTAGGAAGATTATCAGAATTCGTACAAATAGCAGTATTCTTTTGCTTCGAGTTTTCAACTGGACCACAAAATTTTTGGCTAAATTGATCAATTATCGGTGCAGTTATGTATAAAATGATGGGTAATAAAAGAAGAGCATGAAAGACACCGATAACGATTACAAGAAAAATTGTTTTAAAAAATACAAGTATCATATAGGAATTGATGAATGCCAGAACTGTAACACCAAATATCGTCGACATGCTACCGTATATAACTGCAATGATATCACTTGTAATTTTTACACTTAATTCATAGTTATTTCTTTAAAATTTTAACAATCCCAAGGGAAAATAATGAATTACAAACCATTCATTCCTCAAAGATTATCGAGACAATAAGATAATCTTGCAAAAAAGCATTAAAATGTTGTAAAATGAGACTGAAATAATATGTAAATAAACCAACTTTTTATTTTTGAATAAAACTTTAGTTAAATCAAAAATCAGTAAATTAAAGAAGAAATTGATATTTATAACATGAAACTTAAAGTAGGAATTTTTTTATATATTAATGATGTAAATAAATATCCATATATCAGCAGAAATGGTAAAAAAGTGATGAGGAGAAAATTAAATTGAGATGAGTCATAGTTGTATGAAACAAAATATGAAATATTATTAAAACTAAATTTTGCGAATTAAATGCGTCCTTTAACAGTATTTTATAATTATTCCATAAAGATAACATCAAATTCAGCTTTTCTTTTTTTTCTTCTTTTTTTAAACTACCGTCACTTTTATTACTCTCCCAATAAAACATGGGGAAACAATTGACATCAGGAAATTAAATGGAAAATTCATTGTAATGCTGGAATACAACCAAAACATGAAATGTGGAAATTTCTTGATTTCATATCATATCAGTAATTAATGTGTCCTAAAGTTGATTTCAAATCAAACTTTCCTCTCAAAACTCAAATTTGTAAAACGAATCAGTCATACAATTACTTACTTGGACATGCTAACTTTTCCATCGCTTCAACACAACGTTCAGTGGGTGTCACATCGTTTGGATTACTCACGAAACCATATGTGATATGAGCACAATATTCGATGGAAAAACCAATCGCCATTATCATTGTTATCATTGATATGGGATCTAACTTCACATCCCATAATGCTAGGAAACCAATTACACCTGCAAATTTCTCCCTTTCCAAACATTTTTTTGCTTGCTTTTTTTCTGAAGACTATATTATGTGTGATGTTGTGATGCTAAATACAATATTTAGCAACAGTTATTAATTTTCCAAACTTTGAAAAAATACGTTAGAATTCTCACTTTTTCTTTTGTCAAATAATTTGTTAAAATCAATAAGAATGATTTGACTACAAAATCTTTTGATTCTGTCTAATTATGCAACTAATCAATTAATCAATCATGATTTTAAGTTATTAATTAATCAATTACGAATTAAGAAGCTATTAATTGATCAATCGTGAATTAATTAATCAGAATTAATAAGCTAATAACCCAGTTTGATGAGCTATTTAATTCTTATTTCATATATGGGAATATTTTGCAAAAGGACTGCATAAAACTAAAGTTAACTTAATAATCTGTTGATAAATTTATTAGCAAATTGTCTTGTAATTAACATTAATATTTATGAAATAATAGTAAATCTAATTATACGTAAATTTCATCAAATAAACTGCTAAACAGTAATAAGCGAATTTGTTAAATTCATTTATTGATGAACAAAATAATACAAGAAGAAATAAGTTAGCAACAATCTTACCAATATCCATCGTTATAATAGCGATAAAGATCCAGAATGTGCAGATCGGATTAGGAATAAACAACAATGCAATGATAACTAATACAATAACTGCGATACCATCATTCAGTAATGTATTTGGTAAAATTATATT